TTTGCTATATTAGACTACTTAAAATATAGCAAACTTATATTAGTGGAAGCTATTTTTTCAGACCTATCAGCAGTAACAATCCATACATGCAGTGTATATTGGGAAAGAATTCTCGTTCATCAGCATTTCTTAATAACAGCACTTGTTCAGCAGCTGCAAAAATGAAAAAGAATGGCCTTAATTCACAGCAGCTGAGAAGCAAAAGACGGCCAAGAGTACCAGAAAATATGCAATTATCACAAAGTATACTTAAAATGGAATCGAGCAGGCATGGATTGTTCACTGCACGTGCGCATTCTCTTAGCCGTTCACCGCCTCGCAAAAGTAGTCGTCCTGATGATTCGATCTGAATATTGCTGTAAATGTATCTATATCTGTGCATATGAAGTAAGATATAAGATTATCAGTAAGGGATGGTAAAATCTACTGTAAATTTTCTTATCTATGTGATTGACATTATGATTTACTGATAATAATCATATGGAGGAATAGGTGGATATTGCAGAAAAAAATTGAAAGGTGCTGGATGAGTTTATTTGGAAATCTTATAAATCATTGACGTTTAAATGCCATTCTAAACTGTTATTATCAATTGTTGTCATCCATATTACTTTTTTTTATCTTATCCGATATATTGTAACATTGATAATAGCTGAACACTGTGTAATAACATATCCATGTGTTCTCCAATTTGTTATATACTTGAAAATTCTGGTTATTTTTTTTATTCGAGAACTAAAATATTTCACATTTATCTTATTCAATAAAATACTGTAATATCATTCACCTACAAAATATATTTAATCTCTCTTTCGATGATGTAAATTTCGGTATTGTTTTAACCTTGAGTATTTTATTCTTTTTGTTATTCTCGATTTCATTTCATATTCGTCTAATCTAGGCGATTGAATCGAAAATACTATTCATCTTTTTTGCAACGGCATACTTTGATATAATAAGTTTTCAAAAATTGGATAATTCTCTCTAAATTACTGTTTATATATCAGTTGAAAAGATGAATCATGAAATGTATAGCAAGCTGTATGTTTTATCTGATTTATTATCTTTTGTCTTGTGAATCATTCCAATGAATTTTGTAAATATTTCTAATTTCAATTTTTTGTGAAGACTTAAATTCGGTGAAAAAAAAAAAGATTGAAATTATTTCCATACATATTCATTATTCACCGTATTATTCATCATACGTTTCTATTGATACAAAATTCGAAATGATACAAATTCTTATTCACTTATTCAAAATGCTTCATCGTAATATGGGGAATAGAAATGATTATGGAAGAATCAATTTTTCTGGGAAAATCGATAAAGCTATACGTATAGTTAATGACGAGGATTACATGCTCTAAATCAATAAAAACCTTGCCGAGGATTTAAAATAAATGATTTTGAGAATTTTGATTTGATAGATCAATTGACTACATGAATGACATATGTGATATGAGTGTGAGAATCATCGGGAAGCATTTTTGCGGACATGCAAAAACAGAACTGCTAATGAGAGATGGAAGAGGTAGTCGATTTTAACTCAATAATTGAAACAGACAAGGGAGAAAGAGAACGAGAGAGAGAAAGAGTGAAAAAAAAAAGCGAAATAATCATTTTGCTTATTTCTCATAGAATTCATTCGAAGGCATCTATCGGAAGGATTCCTTCAAATGGCTAGGTCTTCTGACATTTTAATTATGAGATTTTGTCAAAATAATGATAGTATTTTGTGATGCATAAAATAATATTTTAGTTTAGCATAAGAATTATCAGATGGTATTATTAGAAGATGAAAATTTGAAATATTCAAATGAGTTAAATTATTTCATCCAAAAATGGCATACAGTATGGATTATATCGATGAATCGGTAGCAAAAACTGCACTGGTAACTTTTTTTTTTCTTCTTATAATATCTTTTTGTTTGCATTGTTAATTTAATTGATTTTTTTTTGTTATGTAAGTTTTTCAGAGTTTTTTCTTTTTTTTTTTATCTTGGAAAATGCTAAATATTTATGAACAAAGAATGAACTTTATATAGGATATTCATTAAATTTGTTAAAATCAAATAATTTCTTTTTTTCCAGAGAAATTTTTTTTTTTGAGAGGAAATAAATTATTAAATTAGTAAAATTTCAGGACCACGATTGTAAACGATTGTAAACGATCGATAATGTGTTCATTTTATCGATTGCTATAAATATCATTTTCAACTAATTATGCGTTTACCGAATCCAACGGGCTTATTCTTTTGGTTATTGTTGTTTCTGTCGTCTTTTTTTGGCTCCATATTTCTTCTATTTCCACTTATTCCACTCATATATTTTGCTCCTTCGCTATGGCGTATACTTGTTGATTGTTTCATTGGTTATTGGCTAATCTTACCTTCGGTAAGTACAAAAACATCAAGTTTCCCTCATTTCATTATCTAACCATATGGTGTATGAAATTTATATGTTTGAGCTAGAAAATAAAATTTTAATATAAACACTGGACATACCGAGTTTATCATAAGCTAAAAGAGTTTATCATAAGCTTCATTGCAAAATCCTCATTATATATGGATTAGATTATTGATTAAACTATTTAAATTTTGATATGTGGATTTTGCAACGAAGTTTATCGTAAGCCGTTCCATCTTTGATATGATTGGTATGGTTATGTATTAATCAGTACATTTAAATTCAAAAAGCTAATACACCATATTAACCTTTCTGCTTATTTCTTGAGAATATATCTTACTATATTTTACTAACCATCATTATTCTTTAATTAAATTTCTAGTCTACATTTTCATTATAGTTGAGTTCTAATTGAGTACAGTATTTCTTAACCTCACATTTTACAATCATCAATTAAGTTTTTGTCGCGTATTTTTTTTAAGCAAACAAATAATTTTACAGTCGTTTTGCGATTACATATTGGGGATGGAATTTCATATCACTGGGGATATGATAAATTGTTCCGAACCAGCGTTGATTATCATGAATCACAGAACAAGACTTGATTGGATGTTCTTTTGGAATGTACTTTACAAAATGGATCCATGGCTACTTACAACTGAGAAAATATCACTGAAAAAAACATTGGAATATATTCCTGGAGCAGGTGCCATTTTTTTATGGAACAATATATTTAGAACACTCATGCTATAATTTTAATTTGAAGCCTAACTTGCTGATTTTATTCGAGAAAATTCTGTTTAGAAAACCGACTTTACAATTTTCTTCTAAAATGCCTATCTATAATCTTTTTATCAATATTTCCATTAAATTTCAATTCACATTGTTCCTTTTTCTTGCCTATCTTTGCTACTTCCTTCCGCTAAATATGTCACTTTTTCGGTATTGAAATTCTATGGAAATTTAGGATGGGCAATGCAATGCGCAGCATACTTGTTCCTAGAACGTAATTATAAAAATGATGCTCATACCATGAATGATATGATCACTTACTACAAAAATTTGGATCGTCATTATCAGGTTGATTTTCTCTTTATTATCATTATCAGATTGATTTTCTCTTTTTTTTTGTTGTGGTCTTATCTATTCTAGTCATTATCGCATAAATCTGTTTTTCTAGGTCGGAGATGAAATTTTAGAAGACTTTTCCATTTATGAAGACAAATCCATTTGAAGTTGATCTTATTTTGATGTCTCATCTTTTTCGTTGATGTTAACATTTATTTCTGTAATTAATTTATTTTAGTATTTTTTTTTATATAACATACATTGTTGTTTGCACAATTTTAATATTTCATTTTTTCTATGTAAAGGAATTTTTTAAATTGTTATTTTTCGTCATAACATATAATTTTTTTCAGATTTTGCTTTTTCCGGAAGGAACAGATCGTGGTGAACGAGCTGCAAAGCGTAGTGATGAATTTGCAATGCAACACGGTTTACCGATATACCATTTTGTTTTGCATCCCCGTACGACGGGTTTTTCTTATATGATACAAGTGATGCGTCAAAGTTAGTTGGTTTTCTAATATTTGGGGGAATTCTTGTGTGATATATTTTAGTAATAAGAGATAACCTTTTTAATCACTATTTTCACATGTCACATTTAGAAGTTATTGATTTTTTATTTTAGAAGATTACCTAAAGAATGTTTACGACATAACGGTTGGATATCCAGATGAGATTGTTAGTTCAGAACTGGAAATACTCCAAAACGGCCATTTTCCGCACGCTGTACATTTTGATGTGAAGAGATATAAAGAAAATGATTTACCTAAAGATAACTGTGGTTTGGCTGATTGGATCAATAAAATTTGGAGAGAGAAAGAGAATCGACTGGAAAATTTCTATAAGGCTGATGTCTCCCATAGGAAATTCTTGCCTGATAGTGGAAAAAATAATTTGCCGGTTAGTATTTCTTTTGATTGGTTTGCTAAAAACTAGAGAATTTCATTTATCTTTCCTTTTTTTTCCCAGAATGATTTAAAATGAAATTAATATTATGCGACATGATATTACTTTTAATTTAATTAAACTAAAACTAATATCCTGTCGCGACTTCCATGCCTCAAACGAAAAAGAATGATAATGAAGAAATGAGAATACTACAGACTAAAGGTGACATAAAACGCGTGATATATTTGTAATCTTCAGCAGCTCATTTTTTATTTCTTTTTTCTTCCCTTTTATTTGGGTTCTTTTCATTTCTTCCTACATACTCTATTTAACATATTTAAAATGACCCAAACTCCTATATAACCTTAAAAGTTATTATTTGTTGATCACGTTAAAAGAACATTGAATGATCTCATTGAGCTATCATTGCATTATATTTTAAGTAAAATATATAAGAACAATTTTTTTTTAGGCATGTACGACAAGTATTGGTTATTATTGTATATTTTCATTCTGGATAATAATATCTGTAATATGGATTTACTCCATCATGTATTTCCCACTTGTCAGGATTTACGTATTCATTGCCTGCATTTTTTACATCTATTGCCACTGGCAATATGCTGGTATACAAAATTTGGCACTACAATTATCCAAACAACAACAACAACAACAAACCAATTGAAATTTTGAATAATATTTAAGTACATACATTTATCACTTCCTGTAATTTTATACGTTGAGGAAATGTTTTTATCAGTATTACCTTTCTTTCGAAGTAAACAGAATTTTATGATCTTTCGCTTTTTTCGTTTTCTTGCCACATTTGTTTATCATTTTTTTTCATGTTTATAGTCAGCCTAAATATGTTTGATTATAATATGAGAAGGCAATATCGATAAGTGCCAAATAAGAGTTATGCCTCCATAACTTCAATTAATCAAAAAATATGCTACTAAATGTTGGTTGGTAACAATCGAGCGATCTAAAAGTTTGAAAATTGTGAGTCACTTTCAGGATGTTTATGTATGATTGTATTAGATATATGATCTCTACATTTTGATATCTGTTTTTCATAATTACTGATATTTCTTTTTTCTAATATCATTAAATATTTTTCATAGCATAATTACTTGTGCTTTTTTTTATAACATAATTACATATATTTGTTTTTCTCTTTTCATAGCATAATTACTTATACTTGTTTTTTTTTTTAAATCGTTTTCGTAAATTTTTGTGAGGAAGGTGTATAGTAATATTGTGTGTTGCTTTTGAACAGATACACGATATTACTTATTACGGAAAAAAATTTGCGAATAAGGACACTATCATATTTAGATTCGAAAAAAAAAAATGTAGTTTTTGTCTTAAAATGGATGAAATTTAAAGTCTTGGAATATTTGTTTACTTGCCGAACAATTTTGATCATTTCATAATTTAATATTATACCTACTTCTTTTATTAACATAATATTGCTTTACTTTTTTCTCGAATATTCATTGTAATGTGACATTTTAACATAGGACTCCTTTTTACCGGTTTGAATTACGTGTTTGTTTTTTTTTAGTTGACATTTATTGCATCTGTCTAAAGGGAAGATATATAGATATGTGAACGATAAAAACATTTTACAATTATACCTTCGTTTCATTACTTGCCTTGTGCATTCCAAGATTTGTATATTTTTAAGTATTTTGCATATTCTCTTAAATATTACTACTTTAAACTGCGTCAAATTTCTAACAAAACAAGAAACTTTTTTATTTCCTGCCGTAGAAAAAAGTGGAAATTTAAGAGGAAAAATAAGAGAGAAGTGAAAATGAAGAAAAAAGAGAGAGAGAGAGAGAAGATGGAAATAATTGTTAAAAATCATTACTACTATTTTTTTTTTCTCGTTCATTGATATGGATGATAATCTGTTACCGCAAAACTCTCTCCCTCTCTCTCTCTCTCTCTCTATCTTTATAGGTTATGTGTCATCTTTTTTCTCTTCCAGTTTTCTTTTTCCTTTTTTCATTTACTGTTCGAGCAATTCGAATTTTATTTTTCATTTATTTCAAGTAAATATAGAGTGTGTTAAAATTCGATGAGCATTTGGCAGAAATAAATTTGTGATTGGTTTGGAAGAGATGTTATAATTCAATAGTTTAGCAATAGTAATATTGACGTAAATATATCTTAAAATTAGAATATCATTGAAAAACTTAGGCGATTATTAATAATATAAAATTATTGATAAGATTTTGAAACATTTTTTTAATCATAAAATATATTAAAGATTGATTATGAATAATTGACGTTAAACATTCATTTCACTTTATTCCATTAATTTTTGCAATAATTATGTAAAATTTTATGTTTTATCAAAAATATATATCCCTTTCTTCTCCATATTTTATTAAAGAGTAAAAAATAAGTATGTCAGTTCGTTGAAATAATAATAGCTAAGCTAGAAGTTAATTAAAAATCATACGAGTAATTAAAGATCATATTAGAGAATAACTGAAGCTTATACTGAAATATTATTAAAGATAACTATTACAATATATGTGGTGATATTTTAAATTCATTAATTCTTTTTCAATAATTTCATCTATAAAAATTAATTTTAACAACATTTAGTTGATAATTTTATTTGCAAAAGTTAATTTTATCAGACTTTTTTGATAGTTTTTTTTTTTTTAATGGAAGTTGATTTTGATAATTTTTGTTCGTTAATTTTATTTATAAAAGTTGATTTTGATAGCATTTATTGGCGATTTCATTTAGAAAAGTTGATTTCAATAGATTTTTTTGATAATTTTTATAAAAATCCATTTTGATTTTGTTCTTTCCAATTCTTTTTTTTTTTCATCGCAATGAGAATAAAATCGAGCGATGAAAGTTGTTGCATTCATTTAAAATTTTGAATTTACGTCATTTCATATCAAATAGTAAGCAATTGAAAACATCAAATCTTCAACAGCAGCAATATGTGCAAAACAAGGCGAAATGTTATTTTTATATGAATGCGATAATTGTTTTGTGATTGTTATCAGCGAGAATATTCGAAATCAAATATTTCAATTCATATCGATTATCAATTTATGAGTTCGTAATGAATCACATAAACTTGTCTTCAACCTTTTTTTTCTTATAGATATTTATCACTTTTTTAGTGAATCATATTTGTATCCTTTATAAGGTATAATTATCATTGAATTATTTAGCTTGATTTCCTGTTTGAGAAATTACTTCCTTATCACTGTTAATTAAGTTATCTTCTGCTGTTTTTTTGTTGTTGTTGTTTGTTGTTTTTGTTGTTTGTTGTTGTTGTTGTTTGTTGTTGTTGTTG